TTTGCCCCCTTCTCTGGGCTCCTGACTTTTTCTGTAGCCTTTCTATTGCTACTCCTTAATCTTACTGCTGCCTTTCAGCCACACCCTTGATCTTATGGAAGGTAAGAGTAAGAGCGAACAACTAGCCTTCTCGGATAAAAGGGGGGGAAAAAATCTCGATAGTTGCATTTATGTGCAATTAAGTTTTAAGCGCTCGCGCGAGTTAAAAATCCCTTGGTGGTCTTAAAATCTATGCTTTGCCCTCCACCCGCGCAAAATTCAAAATTCTTATATCAAACTGAAAATGTTCAAGGTGTATCCCACACGCTCAAGACCTTATATATAGATCTATATGCAGACTTTGCAAGCACCATAAAACACTTAAAAACAAAAAAACAAAAAAAATTTAAACACTGTTGCAAATTAATCATGAGTGATTTACGCAGTCAGGCTTAGATTGTAATATAAATAGATCTAGATCTAGATTTAGATCCAGATCTAGATCTAGCTCAATTTAAAAGCACATCAAATATTTCAAAAAGATTAATTTGCGGCAGAAATGAAGTTGAAATATGTCGTGTTCAGTGCATCAGTAAAAAGTAGAGTATAGACACGATGTAGGCCTTCTATCTGTTTATATCCAAGTGTGAGACGGGAATGAAAATGAAAGAATTTTATATAGAATCTATATTAGATCTAATCTAGATCTAGATCTAGACTAAATCTAGATTAGATCTAGACTTCTATATAGAGAGATCTTTACCAAAGTCAAAACAAAGTAAGAAAAAGAACCATTTAGAAAACCTCTCCAGCGAGCAAATAGGCCTAAGTTTCCATGTCAACTTCTGCAACTAAACGTTACCTGAAGCATTGAGTGTTCCCTCTACGAACCACTCAAGTTGGCCTGTCTTGAAGTCGCACTTGCTGACTGTCGAAAAGTCTTTATTCCATGTTAGCCTTGATCTGGCTAACCTCGACCAAAACGTGTCTGGTTGTTCAAGACTGAATTTGTGCAAATCTTCATGCGTCTTTATGTCAACAAGGTCATCAAACTCTGGAAAGGGTGTTGTGGAAATGCATCTTGCAGCACATCCTTTCCTCTGCAAACTTCTAAGGAGTAAATGCCTTGATTTTGTTGTCAAACTGAAACCAACTGCTCCGAACATACTCATACTGACTGACAATTTGTCTCACGAGCTAAAAGTGAAGAGAATAGAAACAGCCTCACGCACACGAAGCTGCTTCCTCGATCCAACAGCCCAACACAGGAAGGTCAGTGGGATAAAAGTCTACTGTTGTGTAGATTCTTAATCTTACATTGGCCTTGGCTAGAGTCTACTGAATTTCAGGACACCGATGACCGTTGAACTGAACAGTGAACAACGGATTGCTCGATTAATCGTAAATTGTAATCTTAGTAGAATAAACCGATGTTTTGGTTCGCCGAACACATTATTTTTTCTCGCTTTTTTACGGGTATCCTAACGTTTCTTCAAGGCTTAAAACTCCTTCAAATAAGTTCATGGTATTCTTAAAACCAACTAAAAGGTCATCAACAGCTGTTGAATAATTCCATGAAGATATAATATAGTCTACCAGAGGTGAGTTAAAGTGGTGCAAAAGACGTATAAACGGTACCTTTGAATTTTTGATTATTTGGGGTTATACGTAATCTTATGAATACATGTATTTTAATCGCAAAGGGGGAAACTGGGTGGGATGGGGGGCGTATGGACTGCAGTGGTTGGTCTCAAGAAAAAAAAGCGGTTTTGAAGATCCTGTCTATTTCTTAATGTGCTACTTTTCCAGGGGATATGACTGACTGATCAGTCACGGTGGTGAATAATGAACACCTTGATTACAGGTCTCATGTTATGTTTAGGCCTAGATTATCATTATAGCTGGCTGTATCAAGAACTCTTAGATAATGTAGCCCTTTTGATTAATTGCTGTCATAGATTTACAAAAGGAGATAACTCTGTGATTGCTGCATTTGAACTAATATGTTCTTTGTGAGGTTTAAAAAATCTCAAATGGTAGGCCTAATTACAAGTAACATGTCGTATTTAAAATTAAACTCGTGCATATATTCGAAGTTCGAATGGTTCGCAGGTGACAGTATGAATACTCCAATTAATCGAATACTTTCGGTCACGGTGATTGTGCAGTTTGTAAACAAACCATGCCATGGGCCTAGATTTCTGATTTGAGGGGGTAGGTGTCTCAAAGAAGGTTGGGTTTTTTTCAACCGTTCTGATGAATGTTAGGTAAAACGCAAACATAATGAAGTATTAGATCCTCCTTCGTTTGCCCCGGCATTCAAATTCTAAATTTTAGAGCCAAGAGGTGTATACAGACTGAAATGTGGGTGGGACAGCCTCTATTAAATTTTAGTATTTTAGGCAGCCAGGCAAGCTGACCTTGACCTCGGAACGCTCGATTTAGGCTAGCCTATTTCCAAATTCGTTGTTCCAGCGTTCCAGCCAGGGGCAAGGGCGGCTACTCTGAAACAAAACAGATTTGGGAAGCCGACATTATCCGACAAGATGGCGTTTACCTTTGCTGCATTTTGTTATATTCTTGCTTTGATACTGACGGCGGTGCTTATCTTCTTTGTAATTTTCCATGTAAGCAATGGGGTTTTGTCTGTACTGATAATACACATGACTGATACAGATCTGATGACGTTTGCCGAGAACTAAAGATCTAGATATCTCCCTTTTGTCTCACTTTTGAAATCGTCATTTTATCCCCCATCCATGAGTATTAGAGCTATGGTCATGGTCTTGGGCGTCTTGGCGATCTTGTGATGGTGACTGTTGTTGGTGCACCTATTGTTTGCTTACTTGGTAAATTTTTACTTTCACTCCCGCACACAGATGCACTGTTTCAGGGGTCAAACTGCAGTACTGTTTGCTGCAGATCACACATAAAGCCACTAAAACTGACATGCGATTAAAAGTAGATCTAGAATCTAGATAAAATCTAGAAACGATGCAAACTAGAATCTAGATCTATTTTTAGGTAAGGCGCCCATCTTGTTTGACGTCAGACCAGGATACCCCTCCGATCACGTGACTACATCTAAGTATAGACAACCGCATGGCACCAAAGATGGAAGTGTATGTATATTATTCTTGAAAGTGGCTATTCTCACCCGCCCGGAAGTTCTCGCAAGATCAACTCCTCCCCTCTTCTCTCTCTCTCCATCTCTTTCTGAATAATGTCTATCGGTGTGGACGATCAAATTGACCAAAACAAAGTTAAAAAATGATGTTAAAACACAAAAGTAAATAAATTTGGTTGTCTACAAAGATGCTACGGCTATTTAACTTTTCAAATCGAGCCGAACTACGCGGGTCGCCATTTTGTTTTGCCCGGAAATTCTCGCGCTACTCCTCTCTCTCTTTCTCTCTCTCTCTCCACTGCCCACAGACAAAATTGTACGTTTTTAGTAGGCTACAGTTGTAATGGAACATTTGTTCACGGCACAGAATTCTACAATTTTTCTGTTATCACAGTGTAAAATTCTGTGGTTTAGGGTGAACGCAAAATTTGGTGAACGCGCACCGGGTGAGAATAGCCACAAGACTCGCCTGCACTATTCTCACTCCGGGTGAGAATAGAGGTGGCCATTATGCTTAATCTACACAATTTTCTCGGAAGTTCTGATAGCTGATTTGATAGCGCGTCTGCATTTGATGTCGAGCAATGACTTTTGGAGCGGTTCGATTCCAGTCCCGGACAGTTTTTTTTTTCTCTTTTCCTCCTCCCGACTGACCAACAGTTCCATAAATTATAGGCCGGCACTATTTCTCCGAACGTTCGGGAAAATAAAGCTGGGCACTATTTCTCCGAACGTTCGGGAAAATAAAGCTGGGCACTATTTCTCCGAACACTCTGAAATATCATCCTTTCCCCCAAATTTCGGATATTATATAGATCTATAATTATAGTATGGGCCTACCAAAGATTGTTCGTATACAATATGGTTCAATCGGTCCAAAAAATGTCCGCCGTAAATATTTATATAAAGAAATGCTACAATTCCAAACAGTTTTTCGCTATAGATATGACGTGTTGCCTATGAAAGGTGCTGCTTTTAAACGTAATGTGTTGTGTTCACTCGTGTGCTGTCTAGATCTAGATCTACGGAGGGTTATTGATAACTACACATAGAACTGGCATCTGCGTTTGTCACTGCTGCGACCAATGTACTGACACTGGCAAGCCCCTTAATGAAGTTAATGTGTGTGATTCCATAATTTACATGTAATATCCTGTACTTTTTTTTTTTAATTACGCACATTTAGGGTTAAAACTGCCAATCTTCTTCGGACAGGTGGACACACGCCCTTATTTGTTAATGTTTGTTGTTGTTTATGGGCTGTTCTAATTTTGATTTCTTTCTGTTATGAAACCTTTCTTTTTCACGTTTTTACACTCATCTAAAATTAAATAGATATAGACCCAAAAATTTGCTCCTGTGTGTGTGTGTGTGTATGTGTGTGTGTGTGTGTGTATGTATGTGTGAGTGTTTGAGTGTGTCTGTGTGTGGTAGTAAGTGGAGAGTGAGGAGTGTGTGTGTGTGTTTGTTTGTTTTTCGGGCTTTATTTCAGCCTTTATTCAGTAACAGTTCAAAGTATACAAAAATAGAAACACAGGATCCATTCACTCCAGGACTCATGAGTCATTCGTCTCTTTCAGTTTCACTCTTTCATTCAATTCCCGTGTTCTCTCCCGCGGCTCATCCCCGTCCGCATGACTTTCATACCCCACCCCATCCCTCCAGGCACACACAAAGAAAATCTCACTTGTTCCCTGCGAACCATGGACAATAATATAGGCAAAACACCGCCTGAGCTGCATTCCTTTTGTTCGTGAGCTGTGGACCAGGCCAGGGGTGGTCAGTGTCGTCGTCTTTTAGTTGCTGTCGCCTGTGGATACACTCGCACATTCTTCCTTTCACCCGCTCTTTCACTCACACTGTCTCTCCATCCACAGTTCAGCTCGTCATACGTTCAAAAGTTGCCCACTAGTTATGTTTAGTTAGTGTGTGTACATGTGCATGATGGGGGTGGGTGTGTGGTGGGTGTTACTGAAGGTTGTTGTAGGCGGGCTTGCCATGCGGTACGTGTTCCTTCCCAGACCAGAGGCAGAGGCAGAATGAAAGTTGGCGCCGAACTCTCGCAATAAATAGGCAAAAAATCACGAGACCGGAAGCCGA